AACAACGATTTGGGTTTTCCTCAAAACTAATGCGAACTGCATTAAGCCAGCCCAGGGCTTCAATTACAAGTCTGAAGCACAGGTGCAGCAAGGCACCTCTCTCATATTCCTAAGATTTTTTTCCCAGCATCTGAGACGCACTAGGAAAAGAAGCAGACACAATCATTTTTGTCTCCTTTTAAAAGCAATAGACAAAACTCCAGCAGAAAGTTGAGGAATCCAGATCTGACTTCTGCATAGTCACAATGTCCCAGGAAGCTTCCACGAAACATCCTTAAAAAGAAGCCACTGTTGGAACTCCTTGCATCTAAGTTACCTCATTTCATCCTTCAGTGAGGCTATTTGGTTAGAACAGAGACCTCTCTGAAAAAAAATCTAGATTCCCAATCCTAACAACTTTATTTCATCATATTTAGCCAAAATTGACCAGGTGTCACATCTTGTGATTGCGAACTTCTTCCAAGGATCTCCCTTTTTAAAAAAAATATGCACAACACTAACTTAAAGTGCCTTGAAGACTGGTTCAGGGAACAATTTTTATTTCATTTATTTATAATTAAGATAAAAATTCAGATGCTGCAGGGTTTAAAGATTTGACTCGCTTGTTATAGCAGTACTAAACTATTTGAATTTCCTTGTTATTTATGGAACTACAATACTATATATAACCCATAATAAGCTTCAATAATTCAGCAACATACTGCAACAAAACARATGACTAAATGGCATTTAATACAGTGTAGTATCCTAGCTGCACAAAAAATACTTATGCTCTCTAAAATGCTATATTGTCTCTTSGCCATCAGATTCCCGAAGACACATAAATTTCTTGTATTTCCCTATGAATCTTCACTTGCAGGCAGACTGGAGCCACCACATTTCCCAGGAGAGTTTTWAAAAAAATGGACGAACTATTTTAGATTCCCTGAACGATCCAGATTTATTCCTGATGCTCCCCTCAGTTAATTCAGTTCTAGTCATAGCTGCTTTGTGAATACATAAACCTACAAGTTTTAACCTCCTGTTACCTGAATTTCYATGAACAGTTCCCCTCAAGCCTGAAGCTTGATTTTCTTCATTGTAAAACTATTCGGATCGTCCATCTAAAAGCCTGATTGCATTCATTTTACCATAAACATTAATGTCCATCTCTGTTACCTACTTAATTCTCAGCTTTATCTGCCAAAGCTTTAAGACTAAGAAGGTCCACAAGAATGTAATTTCCAGTTTGGGTGATGCAGTTTTGCTCTTCYTCGAGCTTCCTTTACATTAAAGCTAACAAATTTCATAGTGAGAGATAAAAATCAGGTTCCACTTTGCAAGTCCTGGCTCCAGGCTTCAATCAATATCTATCAAGAAAAAAAGCTTACTGATAGCATTTTCTCTAAGAGAGGAAATTTTGCATTAGAAAGAGCAAAAGAAGTCAAAGAGAACAGCACTGAAGACTGCAAACTAGATTTTATTCTCTCTGAATAAACTACCAAGTAGAAAAAGAGTTTTTAAAACAAGCACCTACAGCAACATGAAAGACTATTTTTAGTCATTAAAAATAAAGCAAAGCAACAAAAAACAAACTAACAGAACACAACACACAAATTGTTTTCRTTATATTAGACTATTTGTATTCTGTCCCATACACTTTTTTTTTTCCCTTCAAATCTTCCTGTACCTGATCCTTTTTACTTCCTAACGTACCTTTGCTTTTCCATCGTCTCATCTCCAAAAATGTCTCAGCCATCCAATTACCTTTTCATCTGGAAAACTGTAGTCATCTGGTCAGTCTTTCTTCCAGTATTTCCTTTAGGTAAAACCCTGATCCACTCTGATTTTCCTATTGATGACTGGCAGCTCCACCAGTGCAGATRACTTTTGGTCCCTCCTCTATGTACCAGTGACCCCCAGTGGCTAGAATTGCGTCTGCTCTTACTCACAATTTTCAGACCCCTGGCCCTTCTACAGAAGGGAACTTTTATCACATATATGTCTACATGGAATTAAACAGTAAGTGGCATTGTATGACCACTTTTTTGTGGCTACTGATACAAATTAAGAAATGACAAAATGGCAGAAGAGTATCTGGAGCATCAAAGCAGCGAAGATCACAGAATCAAAAGCCAGTAGCAGGCAGAAATTGGGAAGTATTTAGGCAAAAAGGAACCTTGGGAAGCAATCTGGTTCAATTAGCTCCAGTCAGAGTGGTCTGGAAAGCTCAGGATAAACTTCTGATAAATTCTGAGTATCTACAAAGATAGAAGTCTCATACTCTGAGAAACCCATTACAATGCCCAAGTACTTTCATTATAGTGGTTTTTTTTTGCCTAATTGCTAATAAAAATTCCCCTTATTATCACTTGTGTCCMGATCAAATCAGCTCAGCTACTTGTGCAAAGACAGGGAAGAAGCTACTATTTGCACCCAAAAAAAAAGTCTCTCAAGAAACTACGCTGTCCTCCTGACAAAGGAAAATGGTTATGTAAGCCCTATCTCCCCATACATATAACCTCTAGATGGTGGTGGAAAGAGATCAGGTCCTGATTACAGCATAATTCCCTTTCAAAGGCAGAAAGGTGTCAAAAGAAACATAAAGTTGACCCACTAAAAGGCCATTACAGGAGTAGGAAAACAGGTCAGTTGATACCATCTCACGTGGCTTCTCCTTATGCTTAGACATGCAGAACGCAAAGCTCGCAGGTGAGTGATTACCGATTAGTATCTTTTTCTCAACAACACATATTTCACTGCTTTAAGAGACCTAACCTACTCTATTCCTAACAATTTTTAATTTGTAAGACAATATGATAAAAATTAAGGATTTATATAATTGTGATTTTTAAACTCATCATTATTTTACYAAGTGCTGACGATGCAGTTTCAAACAACAGAAAAAGCGTTGCACATGACAAATTAGACAACTTCATGAAGTTATCTAAACTAAATTCCTGCAAGACACATACACCATCATTTTACCCAAGACTATCGATTCTAAGATTGAAGAAAACATTCCTCTTAAAGTTTTGTATGCATATCATACTTTTAGCTCTATCCATATACTAAGTCTAGAAATACTAAAAAACATTTCATTATTAAAGMAATGAAATACAGTAAAAGTATACCTGAATGTATTTGGTAAGATTTTAGCTGTCCTCAGTGTTCCATTGGGTTGCATTGATTTTAGAGCTAGTCTAACATTTAGCAGGCCAGTAACAATGAATAAGCCTAACACATTATGTAAGCATAAGCTGATTAAACCCTTGATCCCGAAGCCACCTCTTTTCCCCCCTCCCCCTCTAGTTGAAAACTTGGTACAATTGCAAATCAGAGCTTTATACACTTTTCACAAGTTAATTGGTACCATTTCTGGCACARAACACATAGCAATTTACATTAATGTAAGCTCATTGTGTTTTAGCATTTCTCATGTGTAGTAATTTCATAAAATTGCTGAAAGCCCATTTTGAAGTGAATGGTTCTCTAATAAATTAGAATTTTCTGGCCATAAATTTTGGGGTTTAATATACATTGAGTAACACRCTGACAGTGGAGTTAATCATGCTGCCTGCTCTGTGTTTTACACACAAATTAACAGCAAACCAAGCTAGACAAGAAGCTGCATTTTTGAAAACTTTGCAGACATACTGCACAAGCTAGTCCAAATTTCCAGCAACACTGATGTCTCAAAGGAGGCAAATGACTTACATGGAAGATGAGAGCTGGGAGGTCATGAAAGAGTTATGTTCCCCTAGCACATTACTATGAGCTCACTACATTGTCACTAAGACAAAGGCAGCAGGATAAATGGAGCTGGGCAGCACAGGATATCAGCTAGTGTTCTCTACAGGAAAAAGAAGTGCAGAGAGTAATACATGATTAACTGTTTTGAATAGGAGGTTAAAAAAAGAAAAGATTCCTTCCACTAGGCTCACATGCCATMCACAAAACAGCTGGCAAGAGCCGAAAACTTGCTGAACAGCTGAATGGAGAAAAAATGTGCATGTGAGTTTAGGTGGCACGTATCAGGCAACTTRGAGGCACAAAATTGCTGAAACGACAGCAATTGTCGTTTGCTTTTTGTTACTTGAGTTTTGAGGTATCTGAACAAGAACAGCCTGTTTGTTTTTTTATGAGTTATTTTACTCTATAAAATAAAATTATTGATATTTATGTAAACAATAGGTTCATTGTAATAATTCTCTAAACTGCTAAATGTAAGCCATTCTGCAGAGATGATACAACTATGAATTGGTGAGGTCAAGTTTTTTCTTGAAATATGAAAGTTTTAAAGAATACACAAATGTAGCTAGAGYATCTGAATAAAAGCAGCAGAGTGGCTAGGGATGAATGAAACCAGAATGTGTCTTATAGAGTTTTTCCTGGTAATGAAGGTTAAAAGAGTAAGAAAACTAAGTGATTTTATCTCTGGAATATAAGTTTCATATGGAATAGAAGTTTTGAAAAAAAGATGTGCTTATTTTATTTGTAACATAGAAGATATTCAAATCAGAAATCACCAGATGTGACCTATCAGATAACACAGGATATCTAACACAGGGTGTTAAATTAGAAGTTTCACAATAACTTAGAGGGTCGGGAAAGAAGAGAAGTATAGAAAGTGAATCAAGCAAGTAAAATGCAACCAGAATGAAGAGGTGGCTCTGGGGGGAATTTAACTTCTATCTAAAAACAACCTAATCCAGAGAGATGTTTTCTTGTCATGAACCAGTATCAGTGAGGCAAGTCAAACAAGCACAGATATCTGCACAGGTGACACAAGTATGTAAGAGTAATAGGGCTGGCTCTTTCTCACAGAGGAAGAGGAAGACAGAGAAGGGCAGATGAGGAAATGCTGTAGCCAGATCCTGGGGACTTTGCACTTTATTATAAAAATTAAAACTSAACAAGATTTGCATTTTCACTACTCCCAACCATATCAAAAAAGTATAAGCTCTTTAAAGCATCAAATATCGAGGGAAATTGACCACTCCAGGTGATTTATTACATACCCCATTCTCTGTACGCTTCTCCACAGGCAGATTTATTCCATTTCTTTGATTTTGGACTTGACGAACACCTAGAAGTAAAGCATAACACTGAGAAAAATAGTTTTCAACACAAATGGTTTCCATTCTTGAATCTGTTCTTAGTGTGTGTGGGGGGGTATATCATATGTATAATTCTATATTCAGTCGTAACATTTATGAACATATAGAACACTATTTTGTCAGTAGTGTGAATCATCTTAAATRCTTAAGAGGAAATATACTATATACGTGCAGTTGAAATTCCAAGTTCCGTCATTTTAGAAGAAAAATATTAGTTACAAACAGCTATAAATATTTCATATGTAACTGTTTGCACAGTTTCATCTTGCTTGCTGTAGGACTTCAGCAATTTTATGTARAGTATGCAAAATCGCTTACATAAGTACTTAATCATTCCTATTATTCATTTCAACCCTGCACTATCCTCTGCTGGCTATTACATAAGGTTTATAGCCATGAATTTTAGTTCTGCTAGTTCCAAATCCTTATTAGGCTGCTCTTGGTAAGCAGTGGAGTCAACAGAAATGAAGCATTCACTTCATAGACTTCTGTTAAAAGTAAAGACAAGTAGCTCCCACTTTTCTGAAAAAGGGAATGGACTGAGCATGACTTATTTCTTATTTCTGCATCTCATTTCCACATCCACAAGTAGTAGCTCCAAAAAAAGCTTGTAAATGCCCATGCTGGAGAGTTCTTCCAATGTCTCAGAACGATCTTTAATCTACATATTGATCTATAGTTACATGAGCAATTAAAGAGCGTTGCATGCTGGATTCAAAAGGGATGTGCTCCATGCAAAAGAAATTAGGTTTTCAGGTGCATCCTAAATTTCTTAATGTATTTTAAATTCATATTACTCCTATATTGCCCAAAGGATGAGTATTTTACAAGTAGGGAATTAATACATACAAAAAATTCCCTTATACATTATTGAAGTTGCTAAATCYGGCATTATAAGCAAAGCATTTAGAGATGTGAAAAGAAACCCCACCTTGAAGCAATAAAGACAGCCAAAACCTAAAATATAGTTGTCAGAAATAGTCAGATTAGTCGAATGAGTAAGGATAAGCTGAGCATGCAAACGTACACCTCACTTTAAGATTCTTTTCTTATTCTTCAGGCTGCCTGATAGCCACAAAGCCAGTAACACAAGACCTCAAAGTTGTCTCATAACTTACATACAGGCTGCATTATTTTCATCATTCATTTATTTATTTATTCAGTCTTACATAAGTCTCCACTTAATACAGCACTGTTTTTACAAAGACTTTTCCACAGAAAGAAGCTGTTTTCCACAGAAACAAGTCTCTGGAAACAACCAGAGACTTTTCAGGATGTGAATGATCACTACACACGCACAGATTTTAAGTGTGGCTTCCAAAAGACGCAATGAAGTTCCCCAATTCTTTTTCCCCAGGGGGTGGGGGAGACAGAATGGGGGGAAAAGGAGGATCCCATCCCTACACAAAGTCAGGATCCTCCAGACGAACATTTGAAAATGATTCTTCATACAACATAGTTCAACTGCTGAACACCTCACCACAGGATGTTGTGAGTAGCAGAATAATTTTACAAAAGTTCAAAGGGCAAATTGGAGAATACATGGAAGAGAAAACACTTAAGAGCTACTAAGTTCAAAGACAGCTTCTCTGCTTCTTATCTTTGCTGTCCCACACTTACACAATAGATAAGTAAGACAAAGCCCTGGTTAACTTCTTTTAGAGCCATTGTAATAACTATTTAAATTTAAAGAGCGTTTAAAACAGACGACATACATCAGAGCACATTCATGACCAATGCTAAAATTAGAATGATCTTCTAACTATATGACAAAAAAAATAAATACAACAATCAAAATCACTTCGGAAAACATTTTAAGTATGTTTAGGTAGCAACAGTGCAAGATAAGGGCACTCACTCTGTTCATTGCTTTCAGCTGGTGACTCCTCATGACGAAGAAAAAATTTGACCTCTTCCCGGCGGGGACCCCACTTCTGTAGGTGGTCGTACATCATGTGATCAAAGGGGATGGGGCGTTCTGCCAAGTACAAAAATAAATTATCATTCAACTATTTTAATTTTTTATATCTATCTCTCTATATATAAAACCACTAATTAAAAACTCATTAAAAAAAAATCCAAATGTCTTTTGCATTCATCCATCTAACATATTTTTCCTTAGGTAGGCTCAAAGAAACAGATACCAAAGGAAATGCATTAGTCTGTTACAATAATGTGGTTTGTTGCTTAGTAGTAATTCATAACTAGTGTTTAAAACCATAACCCTCCCTCTAAAAAATCCAAATCACAGCATTCACAAACCCTGACTCAGTTGTGTCAGAAGGTCCTCACCACAATACTATGCAGATGCCTGATCTTTGCACCTTTTCTCCCCATCTCCACATGGACTTCTTATTCCATTATTAAAACAACAGTCAGTTTCAACCTCATGGTTTCTGTCCAGATTAAAAAACACATTGTCCCGTTGATGCTCTCTAAGCACTCGAAGCACGTGAGCAGGTATACCCATTGCTAGACACTGCACTGGACAGTAGCTTGACGTAAGTGGAATTACTGGCAAATCTTAGAGCAAACAAGGGCTAAGTCCTATACAAAAGTTGCTGTTTTCCATTAAAGAAATGCAAAACATTTGTGTAATATGATAGCTACTTCAATTCTATTAAATATACTATTATTAGAAGGTTACACATTATATATTTAGGATTTCAAAATGAAAGTATTTAGAGATTTTTCATGTTTCCATAATGATACGTGCTTTTATTTTGAAATCGTTTCATTTAAGGTTAGAAAGTCTCCCCTTTAGGAGGCTCCTAATACTATGCACGAGGACATCCCAAATATACCTGTTACAGTGCAATTTACCTAAATTTCTAAGAGTTATAAAATATAGATATTCATATACATCTTGATATTTTTGAGGTACTTCATTACACCATTTAAAATCCGATATATTTGCATCACTTGATTCTCAATGTACTTAATACAATAAGTCTTCTGACAAAAACTATCATGTCAAGTAGTCTGACCTCATCAACATCACAGTAAGATCTCCTCATTCCTTTAATTTATAATATAGAGAATTGATTATAAAATATCCTAAAGGCTTTATATGTTTAACCAACTAAGAGAAGAAAAAGGAAAAAAAAAAGGGGGGGTGGGTTGTGCCTTGCTCGTGTCAAGCACTTCCTACACATCAAACAGGATTCCAGGCCAGTGGAGCCTCCCCGGAGTATCTGTTCACTATTAACACCAAAGACTATCAGAAACATTTTACTGAAAGAAACATTGTATAGTAAAGACATAGAAAGCTCGATATTAAAGATAAAATGTTTAGTTGACGACTAGATCAGACAAATCTATAYAGCAGAGACTACACAGTGAAAATGTATTTGTTATTAAAACAGYGGTGATTGGTATGTAAGTGGTATACTTCTCTCCATACACAGTTCAAAGCTTTCAGGGAAATTCAGTTCTACAACTATTTCAAAAATATCAAATGCAAGAGATATTCATTATTTCTTGAGGATTGCTGCACACCTCTGATCCTCAAGCACCCTTCTCTGCAACTGCCCCAACCCCTTCATCTTCCCTCCTTCATCTTAGCACCAACACCAGCACAGGACAGGCTATTAGGCTCTCACTGACTTCACACGTAACACTGATCTGAGGAATAATTTAACCGAAGAACAGAAGAAACATTCTTCAGACATGGCACTCTGCATACACATTTGTTTAAACCTAAAAAAATTCTTCTTATAATTTCATTTTTCCTTTGTTTCAGTTATTTTATTCTCAAATCCAGGTCTGCTAATTATACCATAGCAGGTGGTTTTGAAAGTACTTCCTTTTAAAGCTCAGATTGACTTTTGGGCAGGAGAGGGAGAGAGGAAGACAATTTCTCATCTGAAAAATGATAGGAAAAAAAGTCTGTACAGGGAAATGAACCAAAATGTCTCCAGGGCAGAGATTTTCTCCTCAGATCTAATAACCTTTTTCTGGATGCCTTTTTCTTGCTCTATTTTCAGTTTTTATATCTATATACATTTTGCATATATGTTCGTATACATAGTAAGTATCACAACAACTGAGGGAAAGGCAGGTAAAACACAAACGACCCTTTAGATTTGCCTCCGGGTGTGATCTCCAGAAGATTAACAAGGGAGGAAACAGATTAGCCACCACTATTTGTTTACCATTTCCTGCACTACTTAGATTAAGAAGACTTTACAGGACTATAAATGTGTGAATAAAGCAGGTAAGCAATAGTTTGCTCTAGCTACTTTCAACAGAGAGTCATTTAAATGACAGACTAATTAAATGGATCAAAAAGATGGTTTAAAAAAATGCTTTTCTTTTCCTTGCCCCTCACTTAAGTGGATTCTAAGAACCACTGTCAATATTACCTACACACACATGAGCATGGTCAGTGGCTTATTACAGCTCTGCTCTTGAAAAGGAATTTCAAAAACATGATTTTCAGGTTTTTCAACTCCTTAAGTACCGTAAGATTTCAAGTGCTTTGAAGTATATTAACTAAAATTGCAGCATGAGTCTTTTAAAGATCACAATGGATAAAATAGCTGGATGGTTTAGTTGAGAGGCTTTAGGCAGAAGAACTGAAGCTTTGGGAATTTTTCCCAAAGAAAGAAATTGCTAGCTGAATCTCATGAGAACTGAAGCCCAACAGCAAAACGCCCAGGACTTGGATGTCTGATCCACAACAGTGTTGGGTTAATTCTGGCATGGGGGGAGCAGCTGCTGGCTGTRCCGCTCTCCCAACTCAAGCCAAGGCCCTGATCCTGGAAGCTATTCCAAATAAAAGGTTCTATTTACACTAAGTACCCTGAAGAATGAAGGCTAATATTTCTGACACATCCACGGAGAAAAAAGGGAAAGACGTTTTGTACCACTTCTGAGATTCTTTCACCAGAACAACTTGAAATATTTTGCTCTAAACTAGACAGAGAACAAGGTTAGAACGTCACTGAAACAGAAAAAATTCAAGAGAATGAAGAGGCACTAACTGTTCTGAGCAAATTAGCTACAGAAAACAGATTCTAAAAATAAGGATGTTCAATAGACAGCAACATTTGACACAAGATACAATCAGCGCTCAAGTCCACGTTACCTCCTTCAAAATGAGAAGAAAGCTGCAGATAGAAAGCATCATCTTGTACTTGCTCTATGTTAGCATTAAAGAACATTTTTCAGAAACACTTGCTCTTTAATATTCAATAAYAGTAATAATGCAGTTAAACTTCCCAGTTTTTACAGCTCCAAACATGCCYGTCAGCAATTGTGTTTCCAACATTATTTGGGAAAAGTGTTGCAAGATGCACATAGTTACTTGCAAAAGATGTATTAGATTTTAAGATGCATGAAAACTTTGGAAAACTATCTTAAAAAGTGAATTCAAGTCCTTTCATTTTAAAAAAGGATTTTGAGAATGTGCAAGTTTCAGGTATTTTGTTATTACCGAAACACCCTGAAAACCCTCAACCACAAGTAACCACATGGATGGAAAACTACAGAAAAAAAAATTCCTTCCTCTGTTCAAATTACATATGTGATGGTAAATTAGAGCAGCTCCAGAATCTAATTTTATCCTGATTACAATTACCCTGTGGTTTTCTAAAAACRTTTCTATCTGCTATTCGTAAAACCAGAACACAAGGTAAGGGATTAATCCTCTCTKCGAAGATTTCCCTGACGTCCCAGGAATGCATTTTCCCTCACCATCTACCCCCACTCCAAGTGGTCAGGGTTTGCAGAGTTACACTTGCAACAAACACCTACTTCTTTCAGCCATTTGACTCTGTTTTACAGCTGAGCACAGGAAGATCAACAATACCACTTGCTGAAGGGAACTGCACAAGTAAATAAAAGTGGGTAATTGAATAGTGGGTGGATTTAAAGATCGAAACCTACTTTCTTTTGGAATGTACTACAAGTTCCTGGCATCACACCTGCCTTTCAAGCTCTTACCAGCTGCAGTTTGCAATAGTTTAGGAATAAGGAAGAGAATTCTGAGCTTTCTCCTCCTGTTACATCCTGAGAAACACACACTAGAGAGGAAAACAGCAAACTGTCAAAGCACAAGGTGCTACAGAATGTACCAATCTATTAGAACAAAGCACAGACACCAAATATTATGGGTTTTGCTTGTTTGCTTTGTTTTTAAGACAACTGAGAAAAAAAAAAAACAGTTCCTTAATTGCAATACAAACTATGCTCCATTACTTTCCAGCTCTTGGGAAGCTCCTCAACCATTTCCTTGCTACACATATATAAGCACAGAAAAGCAAAAATAACAGATATATACACTAATTCAATCTTCCTCTAAATTTGAGGTATTTTACTTAATCTTTGACACAAAGTTACGTGGATTTTTAACAACAGCATTTTCCTGGAAATGGCCTGTTTCTGTCACCCTCTAAAAATAAAATCCTGTATTTCGCAGTTGTTGGTGTATGAATGTGTGTGCAGATAAAGAAGTAAAGATTATTAGGAGAAAATATTAGTTAGATACTGCTTAGAAAAAAATGGCAAGATTTTGGGCACACAARCTTTTCACATCCAATATAAAAATTACAGTCTACAAACTTAAGTACTTYGAATTCAGCTAGGTGTGGATTATTCAGTTAGACTATCAAAAAGAGGAAGCCGTGGCTACCTGCAGAACAGCAAAGTTAAGAACATAAGGAAAAAAGTATGATGGTTCTATCTTACGGGAACAGAGAATGATGTATCACCTATGCAAYAAGCAGAGATCAGTAAGAAAGCCAACCATTTACAGTGTGCTATCAAAAAATAATTTTAAGAATCCACACACAGCAATCCGTGACTTTTGCTCTTAATTATTGTTTTAATTATTACTTTTCAAAATTAAAAAAATATAGATTTGTAGACCTCTCTTGAGGAACAGCGTTGAGGAATCAGAGACAAAATAAATACATCTCTCCATATATAATGYATCTCTTCCTGGCACAGTATGCAACAACAACTTTGCAAATCTCTCCACACTTCCCACTCTGACCCACAGTTTAAGTTGCYTGTTACTGTTGAGCTTAACTCTTTATATGCAAGTTTTCAGATCTCTGTTCCAAGCAGAATTATTTTTTTAAAGCTTTGGTAAGAAGATTTTTACCTTTGCTTTCAGGAACAGCTGAAGGAAAAAACCACCTTGTTGTGCCTTGTCAAAAAAAAAAAAAAAAAAAAAAAAAAAAAGCTTCAGGTTGTTTCACTGGGAAACCTCACACACCACCATCACATAGACCTTATGACAGTGAGGTCTATTTAACTGACCTACATTTAAGTAAAACAAATTAAAATGCATGTGGTGAAATTCCTGTTAGAGAGGATCAAAGCTGCCACACAGGGCATCATTTTTTGCCAGCAACATCAGCCTGTTTGAAATAGAAGATATCACCAAAGTGGATCACTTATTATATTTGAATGTCTTTATATTCCACTAATGCAATAACTACATCTCTATAGATTATGGCAGGACATGACTCATATGGTAAATAGTTAAATTTGCTCTTAGACCCTCCATTGTATCTTTCTGGAGACTATTTATTTGTTTATAGTGACTTACTCAATAGGAACTTTTAGCCTCAGATCTTAAACATTTTGAGAAATTGTGTGTTATGTCCCCAAGTAAGTATTTTAATCCATCTTAGAAGCTATTATGGAAAATTTGTGCTTCTGTTTGCCASGGCTGCAAGGCCTAAATGTCTCAAAATGCTGTGGATCTCCAAGCAGCTTCCAGCCATCCTTTGAAGCTAGTTGATAACATTCTCTGCATTTTTGAGGAAGCACCTCCTCAAAGCACTGGAAAGGCAGAAGCAGAAACAAAAGAGAGAGAATCATACAGGTTACACTTTCACAGCAACCAATGGCAGGATATTAGGCATATTCCATGGGTGTTCAACATTTAAACTGCAGATCCATTTCATGGATTTATACACGTGACAGACACATCATCTCCRGTTTAAAAGGGACTTAAGACTTTTTCAAGTTTCCTAAATATGAACTGAATTTGTATTCCCAGAACTACAGACATTCTTAACTTGTCTTCTGCTAACTCTTGCCTAAATTCTGCAAGTTCAAATCCAACTAGGAAACAACTCCTGAGGTACCTTTTGCCTTGACCAAGTATTAGAACAGTTTATAGGAGGAAAAGATATTCTAGAAGAATGCATTAAGTTTCTCTGACAAATACAAACATAAACCTAAAAAACAACAACAAAAAAACCTCATAAATATATCTCTATGGGAGATTTAGGAATCAAGTCACAACAACCTTAGTGAGTGGAGAAGGATAAGATCCTAAGAAATCACATTCTTCACGCACATACTGATTCTACTCACATCCATACCTTGATATACTACAACTTCCATATGTCAATATACTATACACAGTATTCTTGGACTACACATAATTGAAAGAACTCATCTAGAAAAGAATCCATAATAGTTTTTCTGACACATTTCAGAGAAAACTGCCTATGCAATTATTCTGCAAGATTACAACTGCAGCACAACCAGGCGACAGGCATCGCTGCCTCCCCCTGCCCTGGGGTGACTGTCAAACCTTGGAGGGGAAACGTTCACAAAGAAGTTGGAGATGCACCCAATTCTGGCATAATTCTGACTGCAGAGCTTCTATTACTCATGATACAGAAGAAAAAGAAAAAAGACACCTTTTAAGTCTCAATTCCTATTCATATGCCTCACAGAGGAAACAGCATTAGAAAGAAAAGCAGGTAGTGATCTGTACCCACTTGTAAGTGATCACTGAGAATCTGTATTGTCCTTTAAATGCTCTCCACATATTTGTATGCTTATTTGTAATAAATGACTTTTAGAGCTGAACTCTCCTCCTACCTTTAACATGTGGTGGGGGGAGGAATGGGAAGATATAATGGGAATACTGAATTCTCTGACTTGTTTATATGAAAATCTGAAATTTAAAGTGCTGATATCTCACTAATCTGAACATTTTATCACAGTGAGGAAGGATAAAAAAAGGTCAAGGAGAAATTTATTCATCTTTACAGACAATGAATTTCCACATTCAGAAGCCTTACTATTTTGCATTAAAGTTTACTATAAAGAGTAAAATGAAACTTGAAATCATTCAGGTAGACGAGTTCTACCTTTTTATACATGATGTAAGTATTTAAATCATTTCCCATCAYTTCTCTTACCGTTTCCACGCCATACTTCAGCCAGGTGGCAGCTTCCTTCCCCAGGCTCTTTGCAGAACTCTACTACATCACGGCAGGTGGTTTCAGGTGTAATTGGAACTTCTGTCAAAATCTGCTCATTGTTGCTCAGAAACACAGTTAATATCATCTGAAAGACAACAAAACAAAAGGAGTATTTTTAGAATGTCATGAATAAGAATATGTRTAAAATTTATAATCCTCCTTTAGAGGAAAATGTATGATTAAGGTTTGTTAATGTCACCAATGGAAGAACTTTTCCACTTCTTGTAACTTTGCCAAAGTTCTAGTCTTAGAGTTTACTGTGTTGAATTTTTGTGATCTTTGGTATGTTTTTTTCGTTTTTGTTCTCCTCTCCCTCCCAGTCAAAATTGTTTGGTCCTATCCATTTACAAGGCCAGGAGGGAAGGAACAAGTTTTGGCTATATTAGATGTTTGAAATCGGAATATTTGTTACAAATAAACTGATGCTTTGGCACAGTAACCTAACCTTCACAGGTGGGCTACCCTTTGTACAGCAGCGRTGCTTTTACAATTTAACTAAATATCTTTAGACAATGGCAAACCTCAAAGAAAAAAAAAATCTTATTTTGAATAGCATTTTACTTGCTTAGTAGAACTGCTAGAGCTGGAAACCTCTGAAGAGCCTGTACTCTCTACGCTAATTTACCCCCTGTAGCTTGCAGTGCTCATCAGGCTGCACGGCAGCCTTCCCACAGAGGCACTAAGCAGCCGCTCTTCACTCACAATTACAACATCAAAAGATGACTTTCTCTACAGTAACTGCTCCCAGCTATTCCAGCTGGAAAGTAGACAGCTACAAAACAGAAAAATATTTTTTCCCTTCTCTTTAGCAACGTTCAGTATGACTAACCTCAAATAACAAGGGAATGAAAAGTAGATAATGGAAGAGAAATAAAAGAGGGAGCAAAATGGGTTCTGGAAAGGACAAAATCCTGCACCAAAAGCCCAGATACTGATGTAGGTTGAAGTAAACGTCAATTCAAATTCCTTGCTCCACCTGGAAAGGGTGCACAAATAATATTATGCCAATGTACGCAGAGCTGTTCCCACCCCTTTTCATGTTAGCAGACCTAGCTTGCTACAAAGCCAAGCAACCAAAAACTGTATGCATTAACTTAAACCACTTTACATGCTGCATATATATTATGATATCATTATTAAAAGTACTTGGAAAATAACCCTTGTTATTTCCCCTATTAAATGCCTCCACTTTATGCAGTACCCTCAACGTGCAGGTTCCACAGGCCCTCCTGTAATTTACTGCAGGAGCTGGAAGCCCATAGTTAATAGCTGAGGCTCGTAAGAAGGAACAAGCAAACAGGAATTCTGCCAAGGTACAAAGTCCTAACAAAGCGATGCTAGAGAATTCACTTTCCTGACAGACTCTGTGTTTGACTGCTAGTAAATACTGTATTCAAAAGATAAGTACTTCAATGTAACCCTAAACCCTCTGAAAGACATCTGACCCTAAACTCCTACTCAAAATGGAGCAGATAATTTTAACCATTCTCTGTCTGCACCTCAGATTCCCATGCATAAACAGGGCATCGTACTGGCCAATAGGCTCCTGGGGATGGAATGGGGATAATGTGATGTTTAGAAGACAGAACATAATAGATAGTCCCTAAAGAATATGACAAAATTAATAGTGTTGAATCACAAGGATTAAATTGCATTATTTAGCAGCTCTTCATTAAATGAAGACTCACCCCTTAAACAGTTGTCCTTCAATTTGCATAGGCAGACCTTAAAAAACATCCTACATATGTAACACTTCATTCATGAGACACACTACGTGCCACAAACCGGAGATTTACATTAATAACAGCCTGGCAATGCCTGAGAGCAGTCTGCCCAGGTTTCAGAAGAAGCACAGCCAACAAAAGACCCAGGTCTCCTCCYTTAGTCCTCCAGGTTATTTCTGTCCATATTTCCACTCTTTTCCACTCTCCTGTAAACATCATCCTGAAGTTTTCAAAGTTTTTTCTTTCAAAGTATTTTCTTGAAATACAACCTGTATTTCAAGCAGTCACCTAGAGCTGCAAATACATTAGAATTTAGTCCAAGATTCTCCAGCAGCAGGATTACGGGTAGCTGCAATACAGAGAGGATGCAGGCACAGGTAACAAGAAAAAAGCCTGCAAAAACCTATTTGGTGCAGCTCATTAAGTTATYTTTCCCACAGAAGAAGATTCAGACACAGTTTCAGTATTCAGTGGGGCCTGCAATTGTTTTGCAGTATGAGTATTAGATCTGGAATCCCAGCATTTGAATTGGGCCTCATATGTAAGGAAAAAAAAAACATCTTATATGAACATACAAAAAGGAGGCTCAGAAGAAACCTTAGGAGGTCATCTCACCCAGTCTCTTGGCCTCAGGCAGGAGCAGCTGTATCCACATTATTCTGCAGGGACGCCTGTTTAACCTGTTCCAGTGAGCCTTTCATGATGGAAATTCCACAAGTTCCCTTGACCAYCCGCTCCAGAAAGCCAGCATTCTTGTTGGAAGCCTGGCTTTCTTAAAACCTACCGAGAGCTTTCCTTACCATTACTTAAATCCACTACTTCTTTGCCTAGCTACAGAGATGATAGAAAACATTTATTTTTTTCTCTAGAGTTATATTTAAGAGAATGCGTAAGAGGTAAGGAAAAGCTGTTTAAACTAACAGACACACCAGTTTGACAGAGGATTGATTATTCATGCCAATCTATAGCTCCTTCTGAACACTTTGTTTAYGTTACATAATTTCATCTAAAGCAAAAGCTTCCCAAACTTTCTGAATGCTGTAAGACACTGGCTTTGCTGAAGCCAAGAGTCTCTTTAGCCTTCAGCCAAAAGGCTTGTTACCTTATAATAAGAGCGTGTTTTAACATCATGTGGTTCCACACAGTTTCCAAGTCCCAATTTTTTAATCAGTGAAAATAACACGCTAGAAACACTTGTCTCATGTATTCAGTATTTTCCGTCTGCATCTGCAGACAGGCTAGTTAAAAAAAAAAAAAAAAAAAAAAAAAAAACACACACCTCCTACACACGCTCCTACACACATTGGAAGAGTTAGTTATGCCACAAATTTCCATCAGTTCACTATAAATTCAACTCACACCCGATATGAAGTTCCCCCTTCACAAGATTAGGCCACAGGTTGGCTGCACAGTATTTTAYCTTCTAGCCCAGACCATGCCCTGCATTGGGGCACCTGCAATCTCATCTGCTAGACAGCCCTGTGAAAGCYGTCTTGGAGTCACCAACCAGGAGGAAAACCGTTGTAGTCAACGGCTGTCCTACCACTCCCCAAGGAAACTTTACTAAAGTATGGGGGTTTCTTTTTCAAGCAGATTGTCTGAGTAACACCAAGGAGCTGAAGCCCAGGCTGTGAAACAGATGGYCTGAAACGTACAAAGGAAAACTGAAAATATTGAAAATGAAGACAGTGCATATTAATTAGCATTTTCAAGCCAGTGCCACAGCCATCCTATTTGTGGTAGAGATGGAACAGGGAACAGAGGTAGCTCGTAGTGGTAGAACACAAGTGAACACTGATGGAGCTTGGAAATGGGCTGCTGAGGACACCATCAGAGCTGGCATGTGAACCACACAGTGCAGCAACCTTAGCAACAATAGCTTTATGAAAAATAACACTATGGACCAARATCAAGACACAGGAGAACTCAATTTTTTCGATTTCTCATTTTAAATGGAATCAATTATAAAAATCCGGAACCTTGCAGAAAAGTAAGGTCTTGAATGAGATCATAAGCACGGAAGTATGTATTTGATAATCTCTCGATTTCATTAAAATGCCTAGTGTTTGGACATGTCACGTAACAGGATTAACTCACTCTTGAGCAAATCTCCATAATGCTCCTAATATATATACTGGTTCCACACTGAATATCAATCTCCAAAGCTTACACTTCCCTCCTCTGCCTCCTTCTCCCCATGACAGATATGGAGATTGCCTGTGTGCTGCTGTTCTGTACTCCTGCTACAAAAACCAGTGGCTTAATTCCATTCTCATTTCTTCATTTTTCCTCTAACTGCTCCTCAACCTCCAGCAAGCCCTCCCTTCACAACTTCCAGGAAAAGAGAAGCTTTATCAGCATCACAACCTGCCTTAAAACTATCCTGCCATCTCACTCATGACAGATCTTACGAATGACCTTCTAGAAGAGCCTCAAAATTAGATTCTACCCAACTGTCTCCACCTTGACAAACACCTGTCAAATAGTTGTGTTTGTTCCTCTTTGAAGAGTTTCTCTGATCTCCATTCTCCTACCCAATCCTTTTTTTCCCAATTACACTTCCCTGTGTTACTTAAAGGACATTCTTAATCAGCCCCACAGTTTCTGAAGGGGCTAAAAGGGGGAAAATACACCGGATCTATCCTCATCTATTCTTTCATCTCTTTCTACAATTGGGTTAAGTCTCAAAGATTTCCCATATAACCCACAAAAATTCCAACMGACACTTTCAAAGAGATAACAGTTTTCTCTTTCTCTATTTGACCTCTTACTGATGAAATTGAGATCTAGGTTATCTCCAGGCATCGTTTGTGGGTGTGTAACTATTCAGTGTCTATCAAGTCAACTTCCATATGGATGTAACACAATCCTTAGCCAGCTGTCTCCAATGTTTCCCTAGATTCCAGATTCATCATTACAGTGGATCCTATGCCTACTCATAAATATACTATTCATAATCTTGTGCTTTACTACACGAAGTTTGTGCTTTAACTTAATGGTTATGTTAGTGGTTGAATGGTTAAGTTTGGCTGCCTAAAATTCTAGGATGAGAACAGTGAACAAAGAAACTTCCTAAACTTCCATTCAAGAGAAATCTCTGTATTTCTCAGAGAGTCCCATAARGTAGTTGCTTTCATCCAGAATGCACAACCTTCTTCAATCTTGATATTGTTGACATGAGAGTCCCAGGAGCTTGCTAGGTACTGTTAAAAATCAATTCAGACCAAAATACCAAATGACAAATCTCACTGAAGTGAGAAAGGTCTCATCAATCAAATACAAATTTTGATTCAGTCTTAAGTTTTCTGTTGAGAGAGAGAGAGAGAGAGAGAGAGAGAGAGAGAGAGAAAAAAAAAATTTTTCCTTGGACTATTCTACCAGCTACAACTGCAGAAATTCCAGATATATTATTTCAAGTACTAAAACATAATTTAACTTTATTTGCAGTACAAATACTGTTTGTTTTCAAGACCATTGACTTAATGAGGTGCTGCTTTAAGCAATCACATGTTAAATGAAACAAAGCTGTAAAAGCATAGCCACAAATTTGCTTTTATTAAAAGCATCTGGAGATGGGTTCTTGGTTCAAGTCATGAGATTTTCTTTATACTGAGAGGACAAATGTTTTTCAGGACAAATGTTTCCCAAACATAACTTTGATGTTGAACATACCTGCACCTCAGAAATATCGTAAAGAAACTTTTCTGCTATAGGAACATTAAACCACCTCACTTCTCTATAATTCAAATGAAACATGTTAGGTTAGTCTAATAAAAAGTTATGTAGAACAGCTGCATTGTGAAGATTAAATAAAGCATACTGCTTTTTTTAAAAACAGATTTCCTATACAATTTCTCGTGATGTGTTCATGAGTCCCATTTATTGCAAATAAAAACCTCAAAGTGTAAAGCAAACTTCTCCTCCTAATGAAAATCACCGTAAGCAATAACACGACCCTTTAACACATTGCCCCTTCCCCWCGTACGAGGCAAGAAATAGTTTTTCTTATTACTCCATAGGTTTCAGACTATTTCAAAACCACTGATATTTAGTTGCTGAAGGGATACGTACACCTTCTTTATCAATGAAATATAAAATGCTACAGATCATTTGTAGAGATGGAATTTGAAGCCCTTTTCTCTTTCAGGTGAGACAGGCTGTCTAGGACTGAAGAATAAGCCACCATTTATGCAAAGAAAGAGCAACTATCATCATAGAGCAACAATCACCATACATTGAAAYGCAGTCAACTAACTAACGAAGGTCCACAGAATATTAGTGAAAATATAACAGCAGTTTATGGAGAGACTTACAGTGCTCTAGAACTAATGGAATTTCTAAGGGAAATGAGAGCAATCAGTTCCCATGTGTGAACGCCCCCAGCAACCCCCACAAGGCYCCACTGGGTGCTCTGCAGGCTGGGAGGGCCAGGCAGGCACAGGGCTGAAAAGCAACAGACCTAACAAATGGCAGCCTCTATCAGAGGCCCAAGAGAGAAGGGTAACATGACCATCTAGGCATTATAATCCTACACTAGATTTTGGAATATACTCCATAATATTTGAAGTGGTTGACCAGCTACAGTGCTAAACCATAGCCAGCTCCTCACACGTTGTCATTATGGAAGCTATTTGCTGTTTGTCACTCCACTGGAATGCCTTCTCAAATTCATATGGTTCCTTTAAAACCAAACAGCAACTGGGATTTGGATAAATTAATTAAGAAGAAAGGAAGTTAACATGTGGCTATAGAAGGGAAAAATGTGTATAGCTGAAAAGGGACAAGTTAATAGAGTAARAGAGGTTGCATTGCAAATAAAACTATTAATTTAAAACGAAATCTGCCTAAGTGCAATGTTTAATGTCATTAGCTGAAGGAACACAGCTTGAAGTTACAGAAATCTATAAAACATGCCTCTTGTTATGTTTGCTAGTGGAAAATGTAATTTGGCACTTGCTACAGAATGAGTTCAACATCCCTGCATCGTATTATCTGTTGGCTTGATTCCTAAATTGTTACATCTGGAGGAACAGCAAGAGATCTTGTTGTTGCTCCTTGATGCAAGTAATTCTGCCAGAGGACTGCCAAGACACTAGTTACGATGCAAGAGGCTTCAGAGTGTGGCGATAATTCTAGATGCATCAACATCTTGCTGAGCACATTTCTTCGTTAGCCGACCGAGGGAGAGCTTTTTATTCTTTCCAGATGGAGGTTTTGAGATTTCCTCTGCATGTTTATTCTGTTCCACCATCTAAAAAGACCGTGAGCCATGTGCTATTTTCATATCATGCACRTCTAAGTAAAGGTGGAAAGCAGTCCCTCTTGAAGGGCTCTGTGCTCTCACCAGTTGATGCTGTTTTTCCCAGCCAGCCCTACCAGGCTCACACCTCACGCACATGCATGTACTCTACATTGCAAACTGGGCATATACYCTACACTCGCAACTGCGATTCTCCCACTTGCCACAGGAACACTCCAAACGAGTCTGCCTCTATCAACCAATTTCACAGGATAAGACAGAAGATCGATCTCCTTCAAACGAGGAGCTCAGAAGCCTCAGGCTTTTTCTATGACAGTATTTTCATTAAAGATAGTCAACAATATATAGCTACTACTGAACATCTTACTTTGCAAAGAATGCGAGGAAGACATGCTCATGAAGAACAACTCAACTGCAGCACTGCCGAACTCACATGGATTGGCAGCAAGTTAAAAACAATAAAAAATGACTCCAAAATGACTCAGCTTCAGAGATCATTTGATTACACAAGAATCTCAACCTCCCATTCAGAAAAAACTGTATTCATTAAAGTTAAAACAAACAAAACTACAAACAAGTGCCTTAAAGACCAAAGGCCAGACAACAGATTAAAAAATAAAATACCACGTTTTTATTATTGATGAGCATGGGCACAGGTTCTATCCACAGTTTTTGTATACTTGGGTTCATTATAATCTATTTTGAATGACCACTTGCTCTGGCAACTGGCTGAAGCCAAAGCTGCAAAACAAGGTTAAGTATGAGGTTTTGAGTTTATTTTTCTGAAAGACAACTCAGTCTTCAAGACCAGCATGAGACGGAAACATCCAACAGAATTTGTATCAGAGAACTAAGTGTTCTCATGGTATTAAAAATATTTTGGCCACGGCCAGGGAAAGGGAGGTGCTGATGTTTCTATGGTCTTGCATTCAACCTTGTCACTGCTATAGCAAAGTCATCCAAAATACACTGGATTCCAGAAAAGCTTGACTGAACTACTGCATAGGAAATAATAATAAGAATAATAATAGGCCACAGAGAAAGATATTTGTCTCTTTCATTTACGGCACTATAAGAAGGCTTGTAAACTAAGCATCTTTATTAAAGACACTGCACCTCACATCAACTAGTAAAGGCAATTTTGCAGCCCTGGACCACTGCTTTCTCATCATTTTACTTTACAAACCAGAAGCAACTTTTAGGAAATCTGCAGACACACAAATTTCCATTTCTCTCACGCTACTCAAATCATCGCTACTCTTGCTTTTGTTTTTAATAGATCAAAATAAGAACGGACTGCCACAGCCTTCTCCCACCGAGCAGAAAAATATTAACAAAATACTGATTACTTGATGTATTGCTTTCAGGCAATATCAGGCACTTCAGGAACTGTTTTGTTCTCAGACTTATACAAAAATTTTAAAAGAATAAAAAAAAAAACTTATAACAAGTAAACTTGCAAATTAAGACATCTCATTTATCAAATAAACCTATGAGAGGCAATCAATGATTTTCAAAGGAATATTCCACATACAAACACTTTAATGCACTATTAAGACTCACTGTTAGATTTTATAAAAAGAAAACATACTATGCTTTATTTTACAGAAAATAAACACGGAGCAAAGTAATCCCACCTTCCTTTTTACAACTCTGTCCTTCCAATTTCTAGAGTTCAGCCCAGTCTTTTCCGGTAGCCAAGATTTTTCCTTTGACGTTTTGATAATATTCTGAAGAACCATCCTTAAAATATTCTTCATGGGGATAGCTGTAAATACTACTGAATATAAATGTCGCGCACAGCTAAAGCCTAGAACAGTTTCTATGCAACTACACTGAAAAACTACTTAAATGGAGTATTTTGGTCTACTGGTATATGAATTCGAGTGCTAATGACGAGCAGTGATAAGATGTTCTAAAGAAACAAGACAGGCCACAGTTGTGACAGGAACAAGATAGGCTAGATCAAGTTTCACCTAATTAGGCAAAGTTGCACTAGGGGAGTTTTGCTATCCTCTCACTGTGCAATATTAAGATTTGTTTGATATTATAATAAAGTTATGACAAATCTTAAGTATTCCTCTTAAGCAAATGTACGTATAAGGCTCCATGTGTCTCACAAGAGACATAAGTGATTTTTCTGTTGAAGACCGTAACAAGGGCACAAGTTCCAAGGGCAAATGATCCAAACAGCTATCGAAGACTCTTTCATGATGCATTGTCTTAAGACAAAAACATATTTGAGATAGAGCAACCAGCTAAGAACAAAACTAAAATGTATTTATGCCTAAAAACACTCTAGTTCAAGCACTGCTTTCTTCTTGGCAAAAATCCTTCCTCTCTCTGGATGCAACTCAAGTGGCAGAGAATATAAAAGGGTAAACTAYGTTTGCGATCAGCTCTTCATGTCAGAGGACAACGAATGTTTATCATTCCTGTCAACACCACAGAGGATCCCGAGTGGAGGACAGACAGAGAAAGAGCAGCAAYGTTGCTTTTAGCTCCTACTCTGCAATCACATAAGCAAAGCTAGAAGAAGGTTCTGCAGCTCAATTCATTCTCTTAATGTGCAAAAGGGAAGAAAAAGAGTGAGCAAGTGACCCAGAAAGAAAGAAAAGAAAGCTATGAAACATCAACAGAACTGGAACAACCCACCTCTCTTGCAACAAAATACGAGCTACGTTTTCTCTGTAGATGCAGGATACACACATTAAATGCAGGAAGGCAAAATAATGAATTCTCTGCTTCTCTAGCGATCCACAGAACTGCTGCATTAATCTTCTTTACATACAAAAAGTTAGCAGCAGAAGGAACAAAAAACTAGCAAGAAACTTTATTTAGCCTGTTTCAACATTCAGAAATAGCACTGCCTTCCTTTAAAGCATTCTGTTGGAAAGAACCTTTTGATCCCCTGCAGTCTTCCTTCCTCCTCAGCAGAAATGTATCATGTTGATAGGTTTATTGAGAAAATAATTAGTAGAAACATTTCAGTCATCTAAAGCAAATCAACTTAAATTAACTTGTTAGCAATTGGGAACATTTAAATAGCTAGGAGGTTGGAAGAAATTTCTTAAAGGGAAAGGATAGGAAAAAATCAATTTTATTTTTCTTCAAGAAGTAATCACATATATATCCGCCAGGAAAGAAAATTTAGTGTGAATAAACATTTGAAGGAAAGAAAAAAAAAAAAAAAAATTATATGAGCAAAAAAATCCATTTTTAAACAATACAGATGGCTTCCTTACCCCAGACTGGGAATCTCCTCTTCATTGAGAAAATAATTAGTAGAAACATTTCAGTCAT